TGAATGGAATACCTACCTTTTCAGAAGGGCAGCTGAGGAGCTCCTCACAAAGCCTTAAGAAGCACCCCCTTCATCAGCAATGTGGACAAGTTAGGTCCCACTGGGCTGCTTAATTCATCTGTCATGTAAATTGCTTTTTGTTTAACTAGAGGCTCATTCTGACTCTGTCTTCCCAGTTACGTGATCTTGGGATCTTTAAACTCTCAAATTCTCAATTTTCTCACCTATAGAATGAAATGTTATTGGACACAGTCTCTAAGGTGACCTGTAGTGTTCTAAGACCCTAATGTTCTAGGATTGCTTTTCTTTCTCTTACTTATGATAAAGATACATAAAACAGCTTCAGTGATCTGTGGGACTTATTCAAATGCCTGTTTTCATGTCTGTCAGTCAATGGGCATTCAATCAGGAGACAGAATGGCAAATCCGAATCTCTAGTAAACACACATGTATCAAAGACAGGGGACAAATAGAGGGTCCCAGAGGAATAGCTATAATTGGATGAGTTATTTTACTGACGAAAAAAGGAAGCTAGATTACTTGTGCGTTTCTTACAGAATCTGTGTAAATTCTATCAGAAAATAAATTCGATCCTGAAAACCAAGGCTATTTTTTAATGCTAACAATATGTTGCCTGCCTTTCAAGTCACAGGCAAGGCAATTTACAATTCCTAGAAGCAGGCTGCTACTGTTATGAGCCAGAGATCCGAGTTTTAGCTCTATCCAGCCCTGTTTTAAATGCTTTATTTGCATATTCTTATTTAACCTTTATTAACAACTCTAAATTTACAAATGAGAAAACTAGCTCAGAGTAAATGATTTTCCAAAGGTATAATAGATTATAAAGTAGTAGAGCTGGGGTTTAAATTCTGGAATTCTGACTCTAGAAACTATCTACTAACCTTACTCCATCAAGATAGGCCAAAACTGGTAAATAAAACTATTTCTGTTCCTGAAAGACATAAAGAAATTTGATGGTATATGTCAGAAATACATTTTCAGATGCATTGTATATAAATGAAAAATTATCTTGTCATTTTCTGCTTGTAAACAATCTACCTCTTTCTACCACGCATATAATTTTAAAGCCCCGTGGCATATATACAATGCAAATATAGTTTAATATTTGAGCATCTCTTCTCTTTGTGGAAGTTGCACATTCTTTTGTGTTTAAGTTCTCGATTCAATTAATCCATCTCACCAGTTCTATGAATAACTTAATGAACACATTAAAAAATCAGCAGTATCTGCAACATATCACACATTGCTGAGTGGTATGGATATGAAAACAAACACGACACATTCTCTTTCTTCAAAGAGCTCAGAGTTCAGTAGGGGATTCAGACAAATAAACAAATGATTACAATCTAATGGGCTGGATGCCAGTACAGCTGTATGTGCATGGTGTTATGAGACTATGGCCATTAGATCCAATTCTGCCACAATTGGGTGGGGGTAGGATGGGCAGGCAAAGCCTGACACAGTAAATGGTCACTGAGCACCTACTATGTTCCAGATTTATGCAGAGGCTGGAGCACCATGAAGATGAGGAAGCCCTCAGGCCGTTTACTACCCATGGAAGGTGAGGAGGAGTTTGTCAGATGGAAGGTGGTTTGTGACATTCCTAACCATGGAGTAATAATAATGTGAGAAGATATTAAGACATCACTTGTTTAGAAAACTCCAAGAATTTCAACGTGCCCACGAATGAACAAAAGGTATATTGTAAGAGTAGATGAACATTCGAGGTATTTTCATTTGGGTTATAATGTAATCAAATGTCTATCTTAAGATAATTCTAACATCTGTGTGGAAATGGAGTACAGAAATCTGAGATAAAAGGAGGGAGAACAATTAAGATTATTACATATGTTAACTTTTGTGTTAAGGGTTTGGCTCAGGGTGTCCAACCTGCAGCCTGAGGGCCCCATGCAGATTGTTTGAGGACTGTTGTGCTTATCTGTGCTGTCAGATATCATGAAAAGTATGCATGGACCATATTTGTTTTGCTCAGAAGATTTCATTAGTGTTTGTGTATTTAATGTGTGACCCCGGACAACTCTTATTCTTCCAAACTGGCAGAAAAGAAAAAGGGTTGGACACCCCTGGCATAAAGGCATGAGCAGTGGAGAGAAATTTAAGAGATCTTCTAGAAATAGAATTAATAAGATTTTAAGTGCAGAATATGGGAGGAGCCCACAAATGAAGGCTGAAGGTGATTGTTTGTGTTTCTAGGTAGGTAGTGTTGTGCCATTAATAAAGACAAGGAAATTAATTAAAGATAAGGGAATACAGGTGCAGGTGGCTAGAAGGAGGAGGGAAAACATTCCATTTTGTAGATAGCAAGTTTGAAGTACTTGTCAGATATTATAATGCAAGACAGCAGGTGGGTGCATGGGTCTGACACTCAGAACACTGGCGCTTCGATATGTAGATCTATAACACATCAACAAGGGGACTGAAGAAAGGAGGAAGTTGAGGGAGAGAGTGTTTAAAATTTTAGAGGCAGGCCAGGCTGGTGCCTGTGGTATAGCAGCATTTGAACTGTAGTTACACAAAGTAAACCAATGGGAGAGGCTTGGAGGTAAGAAAAGTGTGATGTTTTAAAGACAATAGAAAGAAGGATTTCAGAAAGGTGAGTGTGAGCAACAGGGCCGGCAGTGGCAGAGAGGTAGTTTCTAGATTTGGCACCTTGATGACTGTAATAGTGTTGGGCGTGGATGAGGGGATACATTTAGTAAGCCAGGTAGGTTGGGAATGAATGGGAGATGAAGAAAGAATGGGTGTAGGTTGAGTTTTCTGAAAGCTTGATGTCTTAAACTATTGTCTATGTCTATAACAGTACCATAGACTGAGTAATGAACAAAGATGTACTGGATCACAGTTCTAGAGGCTGTGAAGTCCAAGTTCAAGGCTCTAGAAGGCATAGCAACTCTGATTCCAAATAGCACCCTGAACACTGCATCCTCTGGACAAGAGAAATGAGTCATCTCCCCCGGGCTGATGGAAAAAAGACAAAGGGAGGAAAAGGGGCCCAACTTGATCTTTTATAAAGGGATTAATCCTACTCATGAGAGCAGAGACCTCATGGCCTAATCACCTCTTAAAAAGTCTCATCTCTGGCTTGGTGCCTGTAGCTCAGTGAGTAGGGCGCTAGCCACCTATACTGAGGTGGGTAGGTTTGAGCCTGGCCCAGCCAGCTAAACAGCAACAACAGCTGCAACCAAAAAATAGCCGGGCATTGTGGCGGGCACCTGTAGTCCCAGCTACTGGGAGGCTGAGGCAAGAGAATCGCTTAAGCCCAAGAGTTTAAAGTTGCTGTGAGCTGTGACACCATGGCAATCTACCATGGTTGACAATAGTGAGATTCTATCTCAAAAATAAAAAATAAATAAAAAGTTCTGCCTCTTAATTCTGTCACAATGGCCATTAGATTTCAACATGAGTTTTAGAAGGGACAAACATTTAAGCCATAGTACTTTGCTATTAAAGAAAAAACGCATGGGATGGCTAGAGGAGTTCCCAGGGCAGAAGGCTAACATTTTTCTTAGTTATTTGTTTTGTTGTTGTTGGTTTCATTACAGCTGGGGCAGAAGTGAATATATTTACATTCAGACAGGGCAAAGCCAGGGAGAGCAAATTCCTAATGGGTTGCGAGGGGATTCCTGCAGTAGGGATGAAATGGAGACAGAAGGGGATGAAATTTAAAGCACAGCCAGAGGAAACAGCTCACTGTTCTCAAGCCTAGATACACGTTAGATGCATCTGAAGAACGTCAGCAAAACATCGACACTGAGACCCTGCTGTAGACCAATGAAATCAGAATTCTGTGAGTGGGGCCCAGATACGCGTATTTGTAAAGATTCTTTAGATGACATCAACGTCCAGCCAGAACTCCCTGAAACAAATAAGACACATGCAACCTTACCAGAGTGTCAAAGAATAAAAAATATCTTCAAGGCTAGAATGTCATGAAAGGAGTTAGAGCTGATCCTCCCTATCCTGGGCACTTGCAAGGCCTTTATTCTTATATTTCTTCCTGAAATCTGACAAGTTATATAAGTAAGATATGGTGGACTTGAAGTGGGTCCAGAGCAGTGCAGCAGTGAATGACCAAGAAGGTCAAAATAGCCCTCCAGGATCCAGGTTTAACAGAATTGAGTTAATTTATCCAGAAGAGAAGGCTGTGGAGACACTTAATTACAGTCACTGAAGAGTGATCAGATTTTGTTACAGAAGGTGAAACATCTGCTCACCTTATCACTGAGGCCAAGGCCAAGGGGAAATGACTTAGGATTCATCAAGATGCCAATGAGAAACGAAGAAAAACTCTGTGGTCGTGTGTATGGGCTTTGAGGTGATGGGAAATATGTCTAAAGAATATATTTTCTTTAGAAAACACAGACGATATAGGCATGGAAATAGACTAAATGAGCTAATGCTAAGAGTAATCCCTAATAGCTGGCTCAGTTTTAGACTTTTTTTTTAGTATTATGCTGTTTAACTCATTGACAATGACTGTGTTAATGATGTGGTGATGTGATTCTTGGTTTTCAGGCACAGAAAATTATGAAATTTGCCCAGGGCAATTCAACTAGTTTAGGGAAGACACAAGCGCAGGCAGCTCAGAAATCCATTCTTCTGTCTCACACCTCCAAATTCAGAACAAGCTAATTCCTAATTTTGAGGATAATTAATACAAACACAATTATTTTCAGAGAACCCCCCTTCTCCGCGATGTCAAGGGCCAAGGAAGAAAAGTTCAATGAAAAGAAAAGAAGGTAAGTGGAGGAAACTACTTTGAATTTAGCCTCTTTCATAGATAACAGGAGTTTGGAAACCAAGCTTTTAAACTTAAATTCGGTTAGAAGAAATTACCCTCCAAGGGGTTAATTGGCCCACAAAGCGTATACCATGACTGGGGTTGGGATAAGTGGCCCTCCCGTATCCCCATTTTCCTCCTGTAGGAGAGCAGTGTTTGAGGCATTGCTATATTTATGCGAAATGGAGCGGTTTGCCAGGGGGACCACCCAGTGACCAGGTCTTATTTGAGATGCTTTCATTGCCAGTCAGCAGACTCCCTACACCATGATAAGAGTCCATCATTCAGCAGCTATGGTGTTCTCTTCCAAAGCTCTGGAGCTTAACAAGGACCACATTCTCTCCTGTCTGGCTTTAATATTCTAGATTCTAAGTAGCATTTCCTCTGGTTATACCTTTTCTTGCAGGAGTGAGACCCAGCTCTGCTGTTTCTCTTTTCCTTTTGCAACTGATACCTGTGTGCTTGTGATGCTTTAACTCACGGCTTTGATCCATTCCTTTCTACCTCTAAAACTCACAGACCCCTCTAAACATGGGAGCACTTGAGTGCCCCCGACATGATGGTGGGGGCATCCTTGAAAGTCATCCAGCTCCCCTCTAAGTATTTAAAAACCTTCAGGATGAGCTACATGCATTCAAGGCTATCCATTTGCCACTTGCTCCTTGGCCTTGAATGCAGAATAAAACTTGGGCAGTGGGTCTAGCACTTTCCACTGAGGCTTGGCCTAATAATGGAACGGTAAATTCTCCCTACAGTGTCTTTAGCATACCTGGAATACAGCTGCCTTGAAATTCAAAAGCAGTAACTATTTCTGCCCACCAATGCCTAAATGTCCTGTGTACAGAAAGGTTTTCTTTTGACCCAAAGTGGAATCCTTACCTCAGCTCCAACAGCTTAGAAAAACCACGCCTTCCAGTTGAAGCTCAGGCCATGGTGGCCAGCACCCCACAGCACATGGTATCTCCTGAGGCATGTGTACTGTTCTCAGAGCTCTGGTGCTTGCGGCTTTGTCGCTATAGAAACAGCAACTCACTGTGGACAAAGTTGCAGTAAGCTGAGCTGAACCATCAAGGGGAAAAATCCCATATGGCTGTGCCTAAGGCCTAAAGCCGCATACCTTGGGAAGGACGGCTAGCAAGCTAACTAAATGCACAGATGTGAGAACAAGCCACATGGCTCAGGGTCATGGCTCTGTATGGTGAAGGTCAAGGCTACATGTGCTTCCTGAAGTCCAAATTCCTGTGCCCTGCCCTAAACACTTACACTTGTCTTGCTTCAGTCCAGTTCTCAGGTTTCCAGCTCAGCATAATGGATTTCGAATACAGTATTTTTTCCTCTGTCCAAATGCTGAATTGAGAAAAAAAGTCAGGGCATATGGAGAACATACTGATTTTGTTATTGACAAAGCTATTATTTGGAATATGGAGTATATCAGTGAGCCCATGGGCTTCTAAGAATGAGTTAGACTCACACAGTTACAGGCCACACTACTTCACTGCAGCCTCCACCTCTGAACTGCAAAGAGCAGACAGAGAGGAACAAATGGGCCTTGCAAACAGCCAGAACCCAAAGGAAAAGGGAAGAGAGAGGGGCCAGCACACATACCGGCTGTGTGTCTTAAACTCCTCGCTAATTAGATGAAGGGACTTCTGTTTGGGGAAAGAGACTGTGTTACCCCAAGGAAGCCCCTTCCAGGAGGAAGGAAACTTTAGGCTCAGAGAGGTCAATTCAGGTGTGCAAGATCATAGCAGTAAGTAGCATTAATGCAAGAATTGAGCCTAGGCTGAGCAATTCCAAAGATACTGCACACTGATGACTCCTCTGCACACCTCTGTTCCTTGCTCACACCACGTACGACATCTTTTAAGGCACTTTCTTGTAGTTCACAGCGCCGCTAACTTTCCTACCAGAGCCCATGACTCTCATCTTGGAATCTGCAAGCTCCTGGTTCTGTGCGTGACACATGGTAGGAATTCAGTGCATGCTCGTGGAGCCCAGCTGGACTGAACGAGTGTCTTTAGAAGGAACTTGTGATTGTTCCTGTCCTGATTGCAATCACCGCATAAGAGAAATTACCCTCCAAAGCAGGAGCTTAGAACAACCATTCTATTTTCCTTATGATTTTGTGAGTCAATAATTGTGGAAGAATGAGGTGATGCCATTGCTGCCTGCTGTCACAGAGTTGGAGTCAGCTATTGGCTTGGCTGGACTGGCTGTCTAAGATGGCTCTCTCCCAGGGCTGGAAGGTGATGCTGGCTGTAGGATGGATGGGAACTCAGCTGGGACTGCCAACACACCTTCTCCCTCTCCAGCCTGGTGTCCCGAGGTAATCAAACTTCATCCAGGGGGCCGGCTTTCTCCAGCAAGCCTCCCAAGCAAATCAGATGGCAATTGCAGGGCTTTCTCTGACATACACTGCAAGTTACACCATCTAGAAAGCTACTTCTGCTTTATTTTATCAGTACAATTTAGTCTCGGATCAGCCCGGATTCAAGGTGAGGAGAGACAGATGCTGTCTCTCAAGGGGAGCAATGCCAACAAATGTGTGGATGAATTTCGACACTTCCATGACCTTTCCCGTTTAATTATCTGCCTCCTCTGATCCCTTTCCCCCTAGAAATCCACAATTTACTCTCCTTTGTGCTTGTTCTCTCTTAACTCATAAATTAACTGCTTGTTAAGGAATTCAGTGAACTCTGGCAAATTCACATTTAGGTTCTCTAGAGTAAAGTATTAAAGAGAAAATCCAGAACAGTCTAGCCTCACTAGTTCTTGGTTTTCAAGACCAGTGCTTCATGAAGAATATGTTTTTGAAAAGACAAGGCTTTCAATGGGACTAAGGACACACAGCATGTAACTAACTACATATAGATGGGACCCAATATGGGGATTATGTTCTAGGTAAACATATTTTCATAAAGTCAGGTCCTAGGATATTAAGTACAACGGAGCCATTGTCAGACCTAAGAGCAGGTGTCCTCAAACTACGGCCCGTGGGCCACATGCAGCCTGCCTAGGACATTTATCCGGCCCGCCAGGTGTTTTTGCAGCCACTGCCTGTCCTGCTTAGCAGCCAACTCGTCCCAGGGCCCGCAGTCAGCCCTCCAGTGGTCTGAAGGACAGTGAACTGGCCCCCTGTTTAAAAAGTTTGAGGACCCCTGCTTAAGCGAGATAAACATTTATCCCTTATATTAGTGGAGTGACCACCAACCTAGGAAGGTAGTAATTATCTCAAACAGTGTGTGAAATTCTCAGAAACACACATTTTAACTTGAAAATACATGCCCTTTGGTCCTCTTCAGAAAAAAGTGTAGGGGAGGGCTGGGATAATACAATGGTGTTCCAAATCTCTGTCACGGTTCATTTTGGTTATTTGGGGTCAGGAATGAAGGGGCCCAAGACTGAGGTCAGATTCAGCTAAAGAAGCAAGATGACATTTGGAACATCCTGGAAAAAGTAATTTATGTTTTTGGTGTAACAAAGGTATCTGTAAGTTTTCCACTGGGGGCAATGTATCAGACTGAAAAAAAAATCTCTGGGTAGATGACAAATAAAAATATAGAAAACGTCTGTTTGGGGGAACCATTTTTGCCTGAAATATAATGTATTTTCAGAAAAGGTCACACATCATAAATGTATAGATCTAAAACTTTTACAATTGATATTTTGGATTTAAAGCTGAGATGCAGAATATTATCAGCCTCTCAGCAGCCTCTCTCAAACTATTATTAGTTTTTCTGAAGTTTGCCACGATTCTTTTAAAATCATAGGTTAGTTTTATCTGTATTTAAACATTATATATATATATATATAATATATATATATATTTATGGTATGAGCCCTATTATGTCTTCTTTTGTACATGTTGTTAAGTATAAGGGTAATTTACTTATTTTTATTGCTGTGTAATATTGTAATGAATTAATAGGCCACCCATTTTTTTATGCTATCATTGATAGTTTTTTGGATTATTTTCAATTTAGGATAGTGGTTTGCAACTGAAGATGATTTTGCTGCCCCTGGGGGACATTTGGCAATGTCTGGAAACATTTGGGGTTTTTACCAGTGGGAGAGGCTACAGGAATCGAGTGACCAGAATCAGGAATTCTATTCATCCTCGTATAGGGACCCTTACAACAAAGCATTGCCCAGTTCTAGATGGCCTGGGTTCTTATTTCTCTTTTCATAAATATTCATGACTCTTCCCATACCTTATTAAATACACAAAGTCAGCCACCCTGCTCAGCATAAAGTCCTGTTCCCATTGTCCCTGGCTCTAAATAAATGTTCCTGGCTTCTGGCCTAAGGCTATTGCTGCCCAGCTGGGCAAGGCCAGAATGGCCACTTTGCAGACTGTCACGGTATGAGAAAAAAAGCTCTCTTTTGCAAATTTAAGAACAAACCCCAAAACATTCAAACATCATCCAATCCAAAGTGTCAATAGTGCTGAAGTCAAGAAACTCTGGTGTAGGACTATTGGTATAAGCTGACGGAGCACTTTGGGGTGTCTTTTAGTGAACTGCCTGTGCATTTCTGTTGGGTGTACGCCTAGAACTATAATTCCTGTGTAACAGAACAGGCACATGCTCAGCTTCAGTTCACATGATCAAACCATTTTCCAGGGGTTTCCTGATTTATATTCCCGACTCTGCCCCTGTGGGACAGTTCTGATTGCTCTTCATCCACACCAACCTCACACTTCTTCTGTCTTTTGAATGGTGCTCATGCTGGTGGTGGTGTAGTTGTATTTCCATTTAATGATGTCGGGAGAGCACACTTAATGCTGTAGGCTATGCTTCCCCTACAAAAAATAAAATTCAGTGATGACTCATCACGATGAATACTTTTTCATACGGTTACAGGCCATTTAAAATATTCCCTTCGTTAAGAGCCTGTTTGAGTATTTAGCCCACCATTGTGTAAGGCTGTTTGATGTCTGCTCATTAATTGTAGGATGTCTTTATATGTTCTGCATATGTGGCAGCCCCAGATCTTGATGGTAGAATGTGTCCACATGTAGGCATCTTGGAAGTGAGGGAAGCTACCACCTGTCAGAGTAAAATTTTGAGCACTGGGGAACAAGAAGCAATGGAAAAGTGTTGTCTCTTTTTATCTCACTCTGGACCAATATCCTTAAAGCACGTTGTATGTTTACTCAGCTTATTCCATGGAATTGAGCAACCAGCTGCTCATAGCAGAGGCCAACTCAGTAATTTGTCCTGAAAGTCCCAAATCAAAGCATTCTTCCAAGACTTTCCTGATAAATGCTGTGCTCTGGTTCAGAGTTTGGATGCTACAGAAGTACCTGTGCTATTTTTAAGTTGATCGTGATTGACCGCACGAGTAACAAGTTTTAGTGTCTCTTCTCAAGGTTTTAAGAAATCCAACTATAGCCACACCCTTGGACAGAACATAATATTCATATTCGGGAGGAACCATCCTAGATGATCTTGCCTCTTTGCGATGTTCACTCCAGAAGCTCTCTTATGGTTGTCTGCCCCGAGAACTCAGCTTACCCCTTCGTTGAATTGCTCTAAGTATCATATGGCATTTTATTTTTATTTTTAAATTTCAGATTAATGTGAGGGTACAAATGGTTAGGT